AACAGTACTGGAAGAACATATGGGAAAAAAACAGAACATCAGTGCAAAGTGGTTGAAGAACTTGACCATTGCTATCACAGTGGGAGACATCCAATAGTGAGCCAAGAATGTGAAAAGCTGGACAGCAACTGGCCTGGACATGATCTACATTACTGGCTAAAGAAACTAACAGCAATGCACGAATGCCTAGCAATACAGATGAATCAGCTGCTAGGAGCAGGCTGTTACCCAGACTAGCTAAGACAAAGAAGGACTATGCTAATTATGAAAGACCCATACAATGGACCATCTTCATCCAACTACCAGCCAATAATCTGCCTCCACATGACATGAGATATCCTACTAGGCATCATAGTTGTCAAGTTACAGGACCATATGAGCCAATACATGAAAATAACACAAAAGGGTATTGGGATAACACCAGAGGCTCAAAATATCAGTTGCTCGTAGGTAGATCAGTCACCCAAGACTCAAGATCTACATTGACCTATCTAAACACAACCTGAATTGACTACAGGAAAGCCTAGGCTAGGGCTTAGTGCCACACACACTGATCTATGAATGGCCGGTGCTATACAAAGTCAACAGAACACTAAGGACCTTACTCAAACACTCACTGGGACTATGGAAGACAACATTTGAAGTCAACTCAAGACAACTCACATAAGTAGTCATCAAATGCAGCATATACCATGGTGATGCACTGTCCATGCTGCCGTTTTGCATAGCTTCTACCTATCAGCTACATTATCACCACTGGATAGGAATACAAGCTCAAGGAAGGAACTACAATTGACCACTTCCTTCATATGGAAATTACAATGAGGAAGCAAGGAAAACAGCTATCATCTGATGGTCAGATTCCATGTTGTATATTAACCTGGCCAAAGCAGGACATAAATGTTGCCAGTGTGAAGACCCGGAACTCCTCTGCCACGCATGTGTGACCCCCGCGCATGCGCCCCACTCCCACAAATGCTGACCTGCATATGCATCCGTAACCCTTGCGTGCCCCACCCCCCGCGAATGTACATAAATTTGACAGCCGTGCTGTAGAGGAATATTTTATTCTATAAAAGGATATTCTATTATTTCCTTTTGCTGCAACAGATTAACATGGGTACCTCTCTGCAGTTTGAAAATAATTCAAATCCTCTTTTATACAAAGTAAGGCCGAAAAAATAATAATTTGGAATTTTCTTATACAGAAGAAAAGACCCAGATTCTAAAAATAGAATCTAATTGTTTTGCTAACAGAATGGTTTTCATCTGCAGTACATGTATTCCCTGATTTACAACTATTCATTTAGTGACCATTCAAAGTTACAATGGCACTTAAAAGTGATTTATAATCATTTTTCACACTTACGACCATAGCATCCCCATAATCACATTATCAAAATTCGGACAATTGACAATTGACATATGTTTATGATGGTTGCAGTGTCTTGGGGTCATGTGATACCTTTTGCAACCCTCTGACATGCAAAAAGTCAACAGAGAAGCCAGAATCACATAACAACCATGTTACTAACTTAATAACTGTAGTATTTCACTTAATAACTGGTAAGAAAGGTAATAAAACAGGAAAAAATTCAACAGCTGTCTTGCTTAGTAACAGAAATTTTGGGCTTGATTGTGGTCATAAGTTGAGGACTATATACTGAGGGACAATCCTCTGTAGTTTTCACAACCCACCCAAATCTACTGTGAAGAGTGTGGGGAGAAAAGTCATTATCTTTTGCATGCAAACTTCTTTTTTCAGAAAACTTGACCCCCCCCCCCAAGCCTTTTAGTAATAAAAGTCATATTACTGTTAGGGGAGGTTGAAATCCTATAACCTTGAATTCAATAGGAATTCTGAATATAGATGGGTATAAAACCCATTTCCTTATGTCATCTGGTATACGCTTATCCCAGGAAACAACTTCCTTACATAGCACAAATGATTCTGCTCTTTTTCCATTTGCAAAAGTATAATTTATTTAGATCAAAATATGCAATAATATGAAAACCACAGAAACTAATGATTGTAAATGAAACAATACATGGTCTAACACAGGGTCAATTATTTCATAATAATATTTGTAATACAGAATGAGAGGACAGAACTCTTAAGATTTTCAACATAAGAAAATTATAACTCTTATAGATCAAAACATTGAATCAAGTACTGAACTATACTATCACAATACGTTGTAACAGTGACTTGATTAATAACATTGCAACTGCAATTTTTCAAGGACTTTTTATCTCTAAATTTATGTACAGAATAACATTAGTAGGGTCAAGACAGCTATTGGATAATAGAAACCTATCTAAAACAGGATAATTAACAACTGCTCTTTAGTTGGTGAAAGTTATATCCATAAAACATTAATATAATTAAAAGATCTCAAATTTCAAGAACCATAGTCCAAACAAACCAGCATAATGTGCTAGTGACAAGTGCTTTGGCATACACTAACAACATAGCAAACAATAACAGAACAGACACTATCTTGATTATATTTGTGTATATTACATTTAAAATGATATGAAATATAGTAAATGGAAAATATATTTAAAAAATAGTATAAATTATAAATATAGTTTTATCAGTCATCTATATTCAAATGCAAATACAGCAACCAGAGCTTTTTGCCTAACCTTGACTGAGTAAGCATAGTAATACTGCCACCAAGTGACTTTTCAGAGACAGTTTTTATCTGTAGATCAGCGATGGTACTGAAACAAAAATATATTTGTTTTATTTTGCTTTACATTATGTCAATCTACAGTACATGTGTACCTTGATATTATCTGAAGAGAAACTGAAATGCTTGGAGCTTTTTTCAGAGTAATTTGTTCCAATGTGACAATAACTTCCAGATGTGTTCAAATAATTAAGGATGAGTCCACTGAGTATCCCAAAAACAAGAATGTAAGGATCAGAAGTTCCATCTGTGCTGCAACTGACACTACAAAGTGAATTATTATATAAAATATATACTGTATAGTATATACTGTATATCATATTCTGAGCATCAGCATAGCAATAGTACTTAGACTTACATGCTGTTTCATAGTGCTTTACAGCTCTCTCTAAATGGTTTACAGAGTCAGTATATTGCCCCCAACAAGCTGGGTCCTCATTTTACATATCTCTGAAGGATGGAAAGTTGAGTCAACCTTGAGCCGGTGAGAATCGAACTGCTGGCAGTCAGCAGAATTAGCCTGTGATACTGCATTCTAACCACTGTGCCATTAGCATAGCAGCAACAGTGTACAGCAACAATCTTTCAATCTTTTAACTAGGGAATTAAGATATTCCAGTGATAAAGAGATGAAAAGATAAATGTACAACACATTTTAAGATATTTAATATATATTGGAGCTCCTTGTGTGAAGGCTTTGAAAATCTTAAGACTGTTTGGGTTTGTGTGTGCGAGTGGGTTTGTTAACACACCCCTCAAACTAAATTCATAGAAATTATGCTGAGATCATCTCTACATGTATTGAGCCACACATTTCCATAGCATAGCATGTTTTATCAGAATTCAAGGAACTGATTAAGATCAGATTTAAAAGACAGACCTGTAACCAGGTAACAGTTTTCCAATCCAACTGACCAAGTATTCTATTGCTTGGTAAAACAAACTGTCATGTACAATTATTTTTCCAGTGAAGCAAAAAGCAGCTTTAGGAATATACTAATGCAGAAAAATAATGCAAGGTGCCAGGCTAGCTATCTGACTCTCCGATGAGTTGCTATTCACAATTAAAACAACATAACTGCCCAGACTAAATCAGCATTCCCAACAATCAGAAAAAAGATTTGACAATATTTCCCAGGCACTCTAAACCTTAATCTAGGAACACAGCCAGATCTTAAGAGATTCCCAAACTCTTAGACAGTGGAAGCCATGTATCTTCAATGGGTTATTGTTCCAAATTGAAACAGAGATAGTATGCTTGCTTGGCCCAAACCATTTCCTTGGTCACCCAACAACATTATAAGATTTAAATGAGAGGATTCTGCTTGAATGTACTGGACAGGCAGAAACAACTGGAGACAGATGGTCCCTCAAATAATAAAGCCCTATACCATGAAGAGTTTTATAAGATAACAACTAACATCTTGAATTGTAACTGGAATGCAACTGGTAGCCAATGTGGTTTGTGGAGCAGCCATGACACACGGGAATAACAGGAAGCACCCATTGCTACTTGTGCTCCTGGAGCAGCTGGAGTTTCCAGAGAATCTTCAAGGGTAGCCTCGTGTAGATCACATTGCAATAGTCCAGTCATGAGGTGACTAGAATGTTAGTGACCCTCTGAAGGGTGCACTCTTGGGTGCAACTGTTGCATAAGACAAATCAAACAGGGTCCAGTTCTTTATGGGGATTGCACAGTAGTCTCAAATATAGAAGTCCAACCACATTCATCAGTATTTTGCTACTTAATGCTGTTAGTGTTCTTCCCTGAAGCTGTGTTCTAAACTGTACCTTGTACTTCAGTTCCTATACTTAGCAAGATACAGTGCTAAGAGACACAATATATCTTATGGGTTCTGTATTCTGTTCATATTGGTAGGCATTTCTAATCATAGGAGTGGAAAATAAAATTGATTTGAGCTTTGTTTTTTTTATTGCCAGTAGGTTTTGTTTGATTTATATTAGAATGTTAATGATGTTGCTTTAGCTAATGTACAAACATACATACAATATGCTCTTAAATGTTTTAATTTAATAAACTAATTTTCTAAACCTAAGTATTTTTAAACATTAAAATATGATTATATATGGTATTTCTGTCAAAATGTCAATATGTCATTATATTGGCCAATTAAAATGAGATACAAACAGATTATGTGTCTAAATCATTGCTTTCACATCAAGCCTAGACAGGTATTTATACATGGATAATACTGGATAGCATCAGGGGTGGGATTCAGCTGGTTTGGACTGGTTCGGGTGAACCAGATGTTAATTTTACATCTGGTTCGCCGAACNGGGACGGCATCGGCGGCCGTGGCCCGGTTAGAGGGCCGCGAGTTCGAATACCTCATGAAAAAGCGCTCAGTAACCATCGGCCGCAACTCCTCGCAGGGCTCGGTGGACGTAAGCATGGGCCACTCCAGTTTCATCTCCCGGCGGCACCTGGAGATTTTCACTGCCCCGCCCGCTCAGGCCCCTGCCAACAGCGGTAGCGGCCCCGCCTCGACCCTCGCCGGCGACGGGACCGGGACTCAGTCGCCGCCTGTTGCCGCCAGCCCTTCGTCTGGCAGTGGCGATTTCTACCTGCGTTGCCTGGGCAAGAACGGCGTCTTCGTGGACGGAGTGTTCCAGCGCCGGGGGGCGCCACCGTTGCAGCTGCCCCGCGTGTGAGTGTGAGGCGGAGGGAGGGATTGCCGGCGGGTGAGAGGTGGGGGGGGGGGCGTTGAGACACTCGTTCCGGCCAGGACCTTTCTCTTTGCCCGCCGGTCGCCGCTCCCGCCTTCCCGGCATGTTCGTCGGGTGGGTGTGGGGGGCGTGAGAGGGGAGCCCAAGGCGTTTCAAGCCTCTCCAGGGACTCCAAGGCAGGAGGATCCCGCTGGTTGAGGAAGGAGCCTCGTTGTAGTGGCGGCAGCACCCACACAAGGAGGCTTGAAGGGTGTCCGCAGCAGCAGCAGCAGCAGCAGCAGCACATGAGCCCCAAGCAGGGCTAGACATGGCGCTTAGTTGCTCTCTGTTTTGTCCAGCTCTAGGATCACAAGCGATTTATTGTGTAGGAAGCAACTCCTGTCGGGTTAAAAAAAATCTTAGTTTCCCCGTCATGGTTGCAGCTATAGATAAATATCCCCCCCCCCTTCATTACCTAGAGTTGGGCTTCTAAGTTGTCCTCCAGACTGCACACATGATGCACGCACTTTGGTGTACTTTTCGAGGTGGGGGGGGGCAGTATGAGAAGCCTGGTGTTTTCAAGAGAAAAATGCAGATGTACTTTCAGTATTCAAACAAGTATCTCCACACCGAGGATTTATCTTGTGGCTAAAAAGATTGTGGGTTTTAATTTTAGAAAAAGAAAAGGCTTAGAAAAGGGGCTACTTTTTCTGTTGGTGAGAAAATATTTGTACATAGTTACTCTTAAAATAGAAAAGGCATTTCGCAAATACAGTAAGGACAATAAGCATACCTTGCTTATTAAAAGTTGATTAGGGAAGGGTTTATTCATGATGTCATATTACTAGTGTAGCTCAATGTGTTAGTTGACTTTTGTAACTTTCCTTATGCAAGGGATGTCATTTACTGGAAAAGCCAGATATTCTGTTTTGTTTTAATTTGGATTAATTTAAAACAAATTAATAGGCAGAAATGTAGAGCCTCTCACCGTACTGCTTTGCATACTCTACAGTTGGAAAAAGAGCGTATCTTACAGTATTGCAATAAGGGATAATGCTGTAATGTAAAAAAATTATAAATTCAGTCATTCATTGACAAACGAGTGAAATCTCAATGTTGAAACTTTAAATGTGTTTTTACAACTGTTCAGATTTATCACAGTTACTCTGACTAGATAGCTTTGAGAAAAAATGTCCTTGTGGTTCTAGTGATTTTTGAACTCTACTGTATAGCTGTTTTGAACAACTTCTGCATTAAATCCTGTTGTCTTACAGATAACAACTCTGTGCAAAAGTCTTTTATGTATCTTGGATGTACCAATGTAAGGCATAGTATGAAACAAAATATATAATTATCTATTATTATTATTTGTCCTATTGCACATAATATCTCACAGAATGATATATCTCTTAATAGAAGTTCATTTGTCTTTCCATTCATTCCAAATTTGAAAACCTTACACTTGCTTGCAAAAAACCCCCAAACAAAAGTATACACTTACTTTTAAAAGCTTAAAATCTATTTACCTGCTGAATATTGGAATATTGATAATATGTTCTTGCACTGCAATTTTTTTTGAAAGATGGTTTTTGATAATTTAATCATTGTTTTGTTAACATATATCTTCTTTAAATATTATTGTTAGCTAAAACATAGTTGCTAATTTATGATATGCAGTTCTATTCAAAGTAAAGTTGATGCTTACTAAAACATTTTGAAGGTAAACCTTATAATTTCAATATACATTTCAATTGTGTTTACGTTTATAATCCATGTTTGTTATCCCAATAAAAAAAAATCCTTCTGAATTTATGACAGTTCTCCAAAGGAAAATTAAACAGAAAAAAATTCATTTGTCTCTATCACTGTATTCTAGTGAACTCAAGCCAATACCTCCATTTAAAGCAAATTATTTGGGAGAAAAAAATAATATACACATTAACATAGCATTTTTGTGGATTGGCATTTTTCTAGTTTCAGTTGTTGATGACTGTCAAATAACATACTTATTATGCATGATACCTTTTATAATAAAGAATCCTAATCTTGTTTAATTTTAGGATGAAGGCTTAGGTAATTTTGAGATGTTTTTACTTAGGGACTTGAAATTCCATTCACTTAAGGTCTTTGCCAAGATTTCATCTCTCATGTTTATTTGCACCTTGAAAATGCCCTATTTAACAGTTTACACATATTACATTGAGATTTAATAGGGTTTAATGCTATTAATATTTTTATTTGGAAAAATATGTAAAAGCCATACTGATTTTAATTTATTCAGAACAATAGAATGCAGAAATAACATCAGGGAATATATAACATGTAAAAGACAGTAAAAGAAAATATATATGATTTAATTGAAAAGTTCTCTCCCTCTGTGTGTTTGTGTGCATACAGATATACACACATACATGCCATTATCAAATGATTTTAATCTTCTATGTGATGGAAAGTAATGTCTTGAAATATAGAACATGGAGTTAAACATGTTCTGTAGATAATAAAAGTTAAAATAATTATGTTAAGCCTTATGCTACTTTTAAAAGAAGTTATTTTCCATATGAAAAACCATGTGAAATTGTGAACCAGAGTGGTGGTTTATATATGCCATTTATATTAATTATAAGAAATTTATACTACCATGGATTATAGCTAGTTGCTTTATCTTAAATAAGCTTTCTACTCCTTTTCACATAGTTTCTAAATTTTCTTATTTAACAGTGTGAATTAAAAACTTTAAGTTGGTATAGGAATTGGATTTTCAGTGATTAAAATAAAAGCAGGATTTGTTTTGAAATAAAGGCTACTAAGTAGTGGTTAAAATGTGGAGCTTTGATCTGCCACAATTTTTGTAGAATTCTACAGTTGAGGTTATCAGTGGGGTATGAGAATAGTATGCAGTTTTTGTAAATTTAGAACTTTCAAATTTCAGCTGTTTGATGAAACCCATGATGTTTCATCTCGAGCAAACATTTGGCTTGTTAACAAATCCCTAATTAACAAAGTGGGTTTAACTGGTACTCTTACTTAAGAAGATTGGGATTGATAATTCTAGTCAATACTTAACAATATTCAGATGAGGTCTCAAAATCCAGAGATTTAAAAATATAAATGTATTAAGCTGTATTTCCCCCCATTTTCACCTATGACATTGGTTTCTTTTCAGTTTGCAGAGATAAAGGCTTGTAATATCTAGCATTCCAAAAACTGAAAATAATTTTGAGTTGTCTCAAAAATAAGCACTGATTATATAGTAATGTCTTACATTAGATTTCTCTGCCCTTTAAAAAAAAAATCATTTTGTGCTTGTCACAACTTAAAAATTAACAGGGACATCACAGTAAAGTAACTCTATGCAAGACTCCTTAGCTACATTATTAACCTCAAAAAATTTGTATAGGTAGTCCTCAACTTAAAATCACTCACTTAGCCACCATTTAAGCTACAATGGACTCCCCCTGGGCAATTCAAACTTACAATGGCCAATGGCCACCCACAGTCAGATGATCATATTTTGAATGCTTGGCAGCTGGCTCTTATTTACGGCCATGAATGACTGCCACAAAAAGTGCCATAAAATCAGATGTGGTCACATGTTGATCTGCTTAATGATGCCTGCTTTACAGACCAAAATCAAGCAAGTTATAGGTTGAATCTCCTCGACATTATTACTATGCTTTATCTTAAATGAAACTATCCGTATGCTGTATTTCAAGGAAATAGTTCTTGGTTGAAATACAAATAATGTTTGGCTGCAGAGTGCAATATGTTTATTAGGATCAAAAGTTCTTTACTCCTGGGCAACTAAGGGCCACTTTCCGCCATATTTTTTTCATTGTTGCAAGGAAAAATATGTTGATTAATAATGTAGTGCACCATTAGAAAACCTTAACTGTACACTTTGGAATTTTGTACTCTTGATTTCAAGGAATGATTCCTTTCTTCCTCCTTCAGTTTCTTTTTTATCCAGATCCTGTCTTAAATAGAAGCTTGCCTGATATCAACTTTGTGATGTTTGCAGTACAGGTAGTACTCAATTTGCAGCCATTTATTTAGAGACTGTTTGAATTTACAACAGCATTGAAAAAAGTGATTTAAGACTGGTTTTCATATAACCATTTGCAGCATCCTTGTGGTCGTGTGATCAAAATTTTGTAACTGACATGACAGTTATCCTGTTCTGGGTCATGTGATTACCATTTGCAACATTCCCAGCCAGCTTTTGACAAGCAAAGTCAATGGGGAATCCATATTTGCTTAATGGCTACATGATTCACTTAACAACTGCAGAGGTTTGTTTAACAATGATGGCAGATGTAAAATGGGGCAACAATCAATTAAAGAACTGCCTTTCTTAGCAACAAATTTTGGGCTCAGTTGTGGTTATATGTTAAGGATTACCTGTACTAATCTAAAAATATTTTCCAGATTATAAAAAAGTTATTTTGTTTTTTCTATTTTAAATTATTTTTTCTGTGCCGCCCCTAGGGAATTTAAAATGAATGGCTAGTATAAATCAGGGTGTCAACTTGTGGCGTCATGTTGTCGTTGCATGACATATCACGACTTTTCTTCCATCGCTAAAACGGGGGTGGTGATGGTTAGCATGTGATGCAACTGGCTGTGGGCCTTGAGTTTGACACCCCTGGTATAAATTAAGAAATTTTATATGGTCTCTCAATTCATTCAGGGCTGCTTAGAAGGATAATACCTCAATATCCATACAATAAGCCCACATTATCCCTAGTGGCAACTATCAGACAAACCACTTGATGGGTTACATATCATTCTGGGGTCCCCAGACCTATTGGCAGAACTATGGTATGTTTTAGGGCCTTTGAGTGTCAGAGTGTGGGCCAATTCTATTTTTTGCAGATCCTGATGTTCCACAGGGAAGGAGTACCATTGATAAGGCTCTTCTTCTGGTCCCAACAAGTTAGACCTCCTTAGGAGGCGGAACCCATAGCATTCCCTACCTCTCCACTCTGGTGTGTTGGGTAGA